CCCCCCCCCCCCCCCCCCCCCCCCTCCCTCCTCACAACACAAAACACAGACCACATACAGCATTTGACAGGAAAACAGGACGTCAAAATATGAGAAAGGAGACAATGTAAAGAGCACAATAACGAGTCACTCGCACATTAATAAACATTGTATGACAAAAATAGCTTTTTGTGTAAATGTTCTCAAAAATACATATGGCAATACATTTGGGTACATCGGGAAATAAAAAAAACATGTTGTCATTTTATGAAAACTGATGGTAAAAGAAATAGTAAAGAAAGGTAAGTGGCAAAGTAGCCTAAGCAGAGACAAGACAAAAGAAGAGTGTAAAAACCATGCCCTCTAGCAAGAGTTGGACACACATCAGCAGCTGTTGGCAAATCTAAAACTGAGAGAAAAACATCATGAAATCTTCAGGGCTCTGCTTGCCCCCACAGAAATTCCCCACTTACAGTTTGGCATGGGGAAGAAATATGAAAAATGCATCAAAGACAAAAAAAAAAAAAAAAAAAAAAAAAAAAAAAAAAAAAAAAAAAAAAAAAGAAAAAAAAAGCACAAAATAAGATTATAAGATTGTCTCAATAAGCCTCAAAGTTGATTTATAGACTTTCAATAAAAGTAAAAGACATCTAATTGAATAAAGATGTCTTATTATCAGTACTGAAAACGATATTCATGTCATTACTTTTGCAATGCACATAATTTTTTTTTATACAGTTAAGAAAGGGAGGACAGGTCCAAAGTTTAGCTATACTGAACTTTTCCGCAAGAAGTTTTTTCCAACTAAACATATATTTTTAAAAAGACACAGTGACTGAACATCAGTACACCTAGAGAGAACAGCAATTTCCAATTAATGGTTCTGTACACTCAATTAAAAGCCTACTCATTAAAAAAGATTAGAAATTCACTGAAAACTACCAACATCAGATTAGAGTAGACAATTCAGCTGCCTTGCTACGAGGTAAACAATTTTGCCTGTTAGATGGCTGCCTCTCTCATTGAGCTCTTTCAAGGCAAAATATGGTGAGACATGCAAGCAACAAAAAACGCCATCAAATCATTCAGAACATAAAAGATTAGTTACAACTTTAGAGATCTCAGCAGCGACAAACATAGCAGGAGCTCACATCTACTTCACTAGCAAACTCCGAATCGCAAAATTTCTTGGGATGATTATTGGAGCATAAAATAAAATGTCAAAAAGGCAGCAAAATTCAGTTGGAAGCAGACCAGACTCTGAGGAGATATTTAAATATTTCAAAGAGTACTTTGATTTAAAAAAATACTTTTTAGACATCATTTCATTATGTCTTGCAGAAGAAGCACAAAAGAACCTCTTTCTTCTTGCTTGGCACTTGAAAGAAATCAAATAACCAAAACTTTAAAAGATGGGTTTGAGGAATTCACACATATAAAAAAGATTGTGTCAATTCATGGATTGAAAATAATTTTGTCACATGATTTTAAAAAGCAAATTCCAATCCATGCTTTCAGATTGCATTTGCCACAAGCGGCGAAGTTTAACTTAATATCTCCCCATCAAAGCCAAATGAGCAGAAATAGAATTGAAAAGTATGTATATGTAAATAAGGTAAAGATTACTGACCTTAGATGTGCATGTATGTGTTTGTGCAAGTGTGTCTGTTTGAATGTGTTTCATGTGTACAGAGACAAGAAATGTGAGCAAAAATTCCTTTTTAAATACGACGAAGAGTTTCTCCTTTGTCATGCCATGGTCGATTCTTGTGACAGAGCTCACCTCTCTGTTAAGTCACCTACTGTTACCAATAAGATTTTCTTCATGGCTTTAACAAACATCTCCCACGATACAAAGTTCCCTCTTACTCTTGTCCCTCGTCCCACTTCACCAAACTGATCAACTGACATTATTTCTCAGCTCAGGAGGAAAAATGTCAGCAGTTTCCTCTGTTTCACAGATTCAGAAGCCAGGGACTGAACTACCGTGAGTGTGCCTGGACAGTTATGTCATCCTTGCGAGCCAATAACCCGTATTCCAGAAAAGTTTTGGCGAAAACAAAAACTCCCTTACAATCAAATTTTAAAAAATCTGAACAAGGAGGAGAAGCCTCATGCAGTTTCGGGGAGAGAAAAGAAAGAGGAAACTTAAGTCTCTTAAGAGACATGGAATGCATGCCACTAATGCCAGAAAGAGGTGTCTAAGGAAGGACCTCACTGACATGTGTTTGGGAATTCAAAGCCTTTGGAATATTTGGCCACACACTGACTCTCATGTGATTTCAAAGCAGAAACAATCATAGGCAATTCTCAAAATCACCAGATATTGCTATCATACTGAAATGCGCTTAAGTGTTAACCATTCTCTGCACTACAAGGTATTGAAAATTGTTAAAAACTAGTACAGAAGACTTAAAAGTGATGGCAAGACAAAAAGGAATCTCACTTTCACTTCACAGAACTTGTTCCTAAAAGTACAATATAAACATACAGAAAACTTTTGTGCTATAAAGCCCCAAAGTTTGTGTGATCAAGTCCGAGTAGACATTTCCTCTTGAATCTGAAATGGGAGACGCTTCAACCTCCAGTTCAAGCTTTGTTTAGAGACATCTACAGATAAAACTTTAGCCGCACTAGTATGAAACATGGTAAAATGAAATACAAGTTTAGGGATGTGCTGAGAAAACAGCAGAAAACTACCTCATCAAACAAAAGAATGACAGACCACAAATCTGAGGAAAATCATCCAATCTACCTGACCAAATGTGTAACTCTGATATCGAAGATCCAACTGACTGTCAGGTTTGTAGCAAACGCTGAGAAGGGCAAGATGGTGGCCAATTTTCAATACATAGGTTTGACCTTAGCTGGAGCAACTCTTGACTGTCGGCAACATAGCTGAATCAATTTCGTCATCTCATCTCTACATTGCACATAGGTATGAATTATTCTTACGACAGCATCTGCTGAAGAATTATATATTTGAATGAATTAGAGACTTACCTTGAAAAAGTACACAACATCCAGGAGAAACATGCAAGCATCCAATTTTAAACTTGCATTTCCCCTTTTTTCAGTGAACCACCTGCTATAACTGACAACAATGGCATAAGACCTCATTTTTCTTTCTCCTATTCAGAAATGTCAGGGAAGCAGCATCTACACCTTCTCCTTTTGGAAAGAGGATGATATGATAATGAAATGAGAAGGACAAAGGAACTAATATTTTCCACCTCCAAATATGCATTAAAAATACTGGTAAAAGAAATACGCAAGCTTTCCTTTCAGCAGCTTACAATACACCTGTAAAACTTATTACTAAAAAAAAAAGAAACAAAAGAAAAGGAAGAATAGTCAGGAACTTGTTATGAAAATATATAAATGCAATGAGAACATCTCCCTTTTGTGTGGTAGGTAGCAATACATCTCTATTAGACAATAACATGACATCTCTTTCTCAGCTTTAATCGTTCTTCTTCTTGAGGTTCCCGATGCGCACAGTCTGCCGCGTGACCTTGATGGTGGTCTCAGGGCTACGGTACAGGAAGATAAGCGTGGCGTAGAGATCTTCCTCCAGCCGGAACTCTTTCATCTCCCGCACCAGGTATAGGTCGAGAACCAGACGCATGATGTAATCCACATCTGGCAGCTCTCGGAACATGATGGTCAGGTACTGGTTGGTGGTACTCAGACGCAGCAAGCGGCCGATCAAGAGGATGAATGAAATATACAGACCTATGATGCTGTTGAAGCGGAAGGAAAAAAAAGAGTGTTAAGATGACGATAAAACAGCAACTCAACATGATGTCAGCAATATTTTTCCCCAATGGAACAATAGAAAAGCTAAAAAGAAGTAGAGGAAGCGGACCATTTCAAAGTTCCTATAAACCTACATTAGGCTTTGAAAACATGACCATAGAGTTATAAGTCCAGCAGCCAAATAACAAGCAGCCGACAATTACACAACACTATCTTTTAATGAGGGGGGAGGGGGGGACTTTACATGAAAGCTATCTCGCTTATTAGAGGAGCAAATTTTACCAGATTTCACACATATAACAAGCAAAGTATGGGGAAGATTTGGTGTACGGTGATGACCAGCAATACTTTTTCATAATCATAAAAAAAAGGTAAACAATATTCATTATTTGTGGGAAGTTGAAAAACAAAATTTTATACTTTTGAGACTTTTGATCACCTTTAAGAGTCAGAAAGAAAAAAAATCTCCAATGTCGTGACATAAAATAGAGATGCATCTTCCTTGTCTGAAATACTTTAGGAGATGATCTCACTGAAAAGCTCAATAACAGGAAAACTTTCCAACATTTAAATTATGAAATGAAGTAAAAGGCTGACAAAGTTAATGAGGTGGATGTTCTAAATTTCTGCACATTTTTGCTGCATCCAAAAAATATAACTATTTCAACACCTGAACAACAAGGCGATAGGACTGAACCAAAGTTTTGAGATAACCAATTTAAATGTGTCACGATGAGGTGGAATCAGGCGCTAGTCAATTTTCGGGCTCGTTGAGTTATTGGTATTATCTCATTTGTGTTGCTTTTGAGGACCCCCCCCCCCATTTATCTTGAATACAAGTTGAGATATTTGCGATTAAAGGAAAAGGGGGCCGCCTAGTTTCAGAGGTAAGAATAGCGAGAAAATGGCCGCCAAAGTTTGGTGATTTCTATAGCTTGAGAGTCCTTGGAAACTGAAAGTTTACATTTTTTGTGCCTTTAATCAATGTTTTTCAGTAATTTCCAAACAGAAATCACAGTCTTAGTAAGGTTTTACTGCGCTCAAAACTGCATACGGTCATCCACATCAATAGACATAATAAGTGTTGAGAAAAAAAAAAAAAAAAAAAAGGAGGCGGACCAAAAATTGCCAAGCTGTCAAAAGAAGGTTAGTTTCTTTGATTCCATTATTTTGGCGAGCGCCTGATTTCACCACGATGCCTCACAAATGTTTCGAAACCACACCAGGAAGAAAAACAGAAGGACGTCACACAAGCCAACAAAACTTTAAAGAAGAAATCAATCAAACAAGGAATCCAGTCAAAAGAATACTGTATTCCACTAACGAAGTGTTGAATTTCTCTCAACAAAATTGTGAGCAATAAAATCTTTCATTCAATGATGAAAGTTCATCAGGAATAAACTCATGTCATTTACCCGTAGCCTCATCACAAGGCTCTGACGTCGTTCTTGAATGACCTCGTACAACACCCAGCCGATGCAAAAATAAAGTATAAAGAAATATTCTTTCATCAGAAGCTCTGCATACTTTGTCATTTTTATATTTCTATTTTATGGGTTTTTTTCCCTTCTTTTTCTCTGTCCATCCATTCCTGAGATTTCATGAACACCTCTCAGGTGATCCATGAACAAGACACAGCTGTATTCTGAAACTATCACAGCATGCTAATTGTTTATCCACCAAATCAAAGGAGGGTCAACTCCACCCCCCCCCTCCCCTCCCCTCAACAGAGTTGTACATTTCCCACAGGTAAATTAAGTAAATTATGAATTTTGTCAGTAAAGATTAGGAGAATTTTCTACGGAGTCCAGTGCCATGTCAATGGCAGTGGCCTCCGCAGAGAAAATGGAGGCTTCAGGATGGAGTCTCCTCTGGTGTGTACTGTTGGAAGATAGGGCTGCGGCGCCTACATTATTGTCCAAAAAAATATAGTTGATAAAAAATTAACAATCAAGAACAGTCCACAAAACCCCCCCCAATAAAACCATCCCCTAAAAATCCCCAACTCTAACTCTTCGTTATCATAGAATCTTTCAGTGTAACTCACCTTTGAGCTTTCATTAAAATAACAAATTCACTTCCCTATTTTTTGTATCCCCACCCCCTCCCTCCTTTCCCCTCCCCAGTTACTTTATTCAAATAGACACGCGAACCATCTACTTGGTAATGAAGCATGGTTTCACCGTCAAGGACCCAGAACTTACCCGTATCCTGAGAGGAAGGACAAAGACTCTGGTGCCTTTTTGTCGTTGAAGGTGATGATGGAGATCTTGTTGACGGTATTGACAACATCGGGGTCCGCGTATGTGAAGATGGTGGCTCCCAGAATCCTCTCGTTCACGTCCCACCACTCACTCAGGCCTCCAGCTGCGTCGGTGTTGAGGGTCATGGAAATGTTGCTCAAGTGTATTCCAGTCGAACCTGTCCCACAGAGAATTGTTTTGAAAAGAAAGAACATTGATATTATGAAGGTCAATTAGTTCAGGAAAAAAAACAACAAGACACAGGCTGATCCAAAATAAACTTATTTTCTAAATATCTCTCACAAAATTTGTACTAGAATGTTATAATTTGGAAAAGATATAGGTCATTCAAAAGGAATTTGTTTGGCACAAAATTCACAAAGGAGAAAGTTACTTTCGAAAAAGGAAATTGCTTTTTACAAAAACATCCTATAAATGCAAAATGCACCAATTTAAAAGATCTTGTCTCATGAACTGATTGGTTTATTTTTTCCTTTCTTTTCATTTTTAAAATCTAATCTTTCCACCCCTGTAACCTTTAAACAATATTTTTTTTCTCCTACAGAATTAAAAAAACTATCTTTTAAATTCTGGAATTCCAAGAGTCAATGGACTATATGTCCCTTTGGACTCGACACATTTTAATGCGTTGTTCGTAATGTTCAGTGGTGGCCTAACACAAGGATCCACTCAACCATGAGTACAGAAAGGTGGGATCTACCAATAGTACTCTTCAACCACCTTCAGGGATAGAATTGAACATTGGGAAATTTTATGGCACTGTATTAATGTTGGCTGTTTCGCAGTCTGAGTTTAAGTTTAAGTGAAAGGCATTGGCACACTCAGGGCTTTCATACCTTGTTCTCCATTAAAAATATTTGTTTGGTTTTTACATGTTAGTTCAGGTTAAGAGAAGAAGCCCTATGATATGGCAATGCTCACTTAGCACAGGGAAAAGGCAAAACAGACAGACAGAAACAAGAGGGAAAAGAAGCAACTTTTGTTGGCTTTCAATTATATCTATATTATCATATCATCATCCAACGAAACATAAGAGCCTTTTGCACCAAGTTACTTATTGCACGACATTATTAAGTAAGTCTCATAAACTGACAGGCCAAATGTCCCCTATTTGCAGATTTTGCTTTTGATAAGCTAAGGATAACTACTTTCATAACTTTTCACTTAAAATACTAACGACTCAAAGCATTTTTTCATCCATACTATAGTCAAAGACAAATGACTGAGCAACAAAAATGTGCACAAGAAGAGTAGACTAGAAAGGAATTCTCTGTGGTCTGTCTACAAACAACAAGGTAGTGCAGACATTGAGACAAGAGACAAAAGGGGACTGATACAATCAATCATAGAGAGCTGGGAAAAAGACAAGCAGACTGACAGAAACAATAGACAAGTTCGCTATGTACTGGTATGTATATGAGCTAGTGAACGGTTGTTTGAGTAAAGAGAAACACATTGACATTATAAGTCAATTAGGTCTGGAAAAAATCAAGACTAAAAGAGAGACAAAAAAAAATAAAGGAGCAAAACCTACCGTTGGCAACCTCTAACAATCCACTGGTGAAAGTACACGATAATTTCTTCTAATGGTGGCTCAATATCTATCTTAAACAAGGTAATTCTAAAAGTACAAGTAAAACGCTTATGGGTGTCACTCACCTCCAATGAGTTGGTCCACCTTTGTAGCCTTCGTGGTGGTGCCCAAACGAAGGAATCGAGGGAAAACCTGGTTCACCTTGCTGCAAGAGGACAAACAGAAAAATGAAAGCATCAACTAGAAGTACAAGGGGACGAATGGACGGAACAAAAGTGTGTGAGAACGGACCAGATGTGTGAGCAGGGATGCCAAATGACTTTTGACACCCTCCCCCCCCTCCCGAAAATGAGCCGAGCATCACATCTCACCTAAAACGAACCTTGTAAAGTTTTTAAATGAGCAAACAAAAACACCTCTCTTACCTCTCCCTTTCCTTTGCAAGTGTATCTGTCCCCGTGGTTTAATACAAAAAAACAAATCTGAAATTATGCAAACTGAGCCCAAAAATGTGAAATTATGCGATTCTGTTAATTTTAACAAAGAATGAAAAAGGAAAATAATCCGAAATTATGCAAAAAAATTATCAAATTTTGCTTAATTATGCGGGGTTCATAAAACCACAGGGACAGGTGTATGGGGCCTTTGTCGTATCATTTCCAATAATATTATTTCTGTCAGAAACATTCCTATGGATGAAAACAAAGGAAAAAGCCGGAAAAAACGGAGATTTCGATTCCCTGTGTGAGAGAACGGACCAGAAGTAGGACAGAATGGATTAGAAGTGTGAGGGAAAGGACCAGGGAATCATCAGAGACAAACAAGTTTGTAAATGAGCATTATCGTTTCCTTACACTGTCTCGCTGGATGTGCCATTAATGACCGCAGCAAACGCATGACGCACTGATGGGTCCAGCTTGCGTAAATCTACTTCGAAGAAATTGTTGAGGTCTGCAGGCAGAGCCTTGTCTGGTTCTCTGAGGATAAAAAAACGAAAAGAATATAAATGAAGGGATTTGTATAAAAGAATTAAATCCAATCAGGGAAAAACATAGAAAAACTGATCATTCCACTTATGACCTGTGCGATGTCAAAGGAAAAACTGGGAAGGAGAAGAATAAAAGTATCTGTAGCAATATCGTTTTATAACAAAAATACTTTAAAACAGTAAAGATCAAAGATCCAGCTTGCAACCTAAACGGAGAGATAACACTTTAGATAAAAAAGAAAACTTGATCATTATCAGAATCGACAATAACTGTTTAGCTTGTCAAATGTGAAGGAAAAAGCAACTGTTTAAGAATATTTTGCCGTGTATCCCCCAAAATGAATGGTACAGTTAATGTCAAATATATTAAATACTGCACTATGATTACTGTGACTGGATAATTTCTGGAATTTGATTAATTGAAAGTACAGTGGAAACCTGATATAACAGGGATGGTGGGAGTAGAGAAAATGTCCTGTTATATCCGATCCCTGTTAAATCAGAAATGCAAGGAAAGTGAGCATTTGTGGACTAATCTAGCTGTACTTATTCATGGGTAGTTTCCCTAGCCCCAAGCACCCACGAACAGGGGTTTTGGCACCAACTTTCTCCTTGCCTCCTTAAACCACATCAGAAGAGCTTGGTCCACAGCTTCTGCATCGGGTAGTCTCATCTTCTTTCGATCCAGAACAAACTTTCCATTGGAGTATGCTGCCACTATCTTCTCTCTATCCTTGATAATGGTGTGAATCAACCCTTGTGGAATGTCGAACTGACGACAAATTTCTTCCAGTGGAGCTTGCTTTTTGTCAACAGTCTGGATTATTTCGTATTTTTTGTCAATTGAAAGGCATTTTCTCTTGCGCTTGGCATCGTTGGTGACATAATGAAAGAAGTAGGCTTAGATCTAGGCCGACCAGCCGTCCCTCCACCCCCCCCCCCTCTCTCTCTCTCTCTTACTTTTTACACATTGTTAATGAGCCTTTGTCCCTGCTATAACCGGTTGGGCTCTGATGAGGCCCTGTTATGGCCGATAAATTTTTATAGAGACAAAGAGTAGGAAAAAACGGGGATTTTAAACATCCCTCTTATTACCGGATCCCTGTTATTACCGGATCCCTGTTATTACAGGGCCTGTTATATATGGTTTCCACTGTATTGATGCTTTGAAAGACAAGAGGAAAATAAACGTTGAAAGAGAGAGAAAGAAGGAGAGACAGAGAGAAAAAGAGAGAGAGAGAAAAAGAGAGAGAGTGAGGGCGGGAGAGAGAGAGAGAGAGAGAGAGAGAGAGAGAGAGGGAGAGAGACAGAGAGAGAGAGAGAGACAGACAGACAGAGACGGAGAGAGAGACTGAGACAGAGTCCGTCATGATCCAAAGAATTACATGAAACTGAAAAACTAAAGGCTGCAGGAAAAAAACTCCCTAAAAACCCCACTCACCGCTGGAACTTGACCTCAAATGTGAGAGACAGCTTGGTGGTGGTGGTGTCGTTGTACAGGTCATTGATCAGCTCGGCCTGACTGGCTGGACTGATGCCCCAGATGGACAAGGCCCGGCCGTCAAACGAGGTCAGCGTCACGTCTTCGGGGTCGTAACCGCTCAAGAAGCTGAAGGCCCTCTGATGTTGAGAAATATTACAGTTTGTTTGTCTTGAATCAAGAAAACCACATCGACACAATAATGATCATTATTAATAGTACTGCAGTAGAAAATATTGTATGACAGACAGAAAAAGAGCGAACGAAAATAAGTAACACCTACCAAAAATGCCCTCCACTCACCCACAAATGTGAAAGTAACAAATACAAACCATGCAACGGTTACAAATCATGTATCACTATACATTCATGATATATTGAGCTTTATCGAAAATGCAGCTGTGTAATACGCAAAATCAACCGCAATCAATTCAAGTCATTCGAAATAGACAGAAGTATGAAAACCTACTACAAGGGAACATTTGAAAGCTTAAAATTACAAACGGAATTTCATGCTACAGCGGCATCATCTCGAAACAACAGGAATTACATCTGGAAGGGATACATGGGAAGCAGCAAAAGTTAACAATAGTTCACTCCCCTCTTTCACAGAGTTTTCTAACATTAATATTGTGAAACAGCAAAGAAGATCATTGCTGACACCAAACACCCATATAAATTCAGTAGATCCAACATTTGCCAGAAGTACACTCTGATCGGAGTATAAAATACCTTGGAAAATAGAAAACAGAAACTAACAAGTATAAAACAATCATCCTTATTGTTATCAATACAAGCTAGTAAGTCATTGTCAGATGTGCCAGTATAATATTATTTTGTATGTCCATCCCATGCCTATTAGTGTGTGTGAGTGTGTGTGTGTGAGTGTGAGTGTGTGTGTGTGTGTGTGAGAGAGAGAGAGAGAGAGAGAGAGA